AACTATTGGTCATAGGGGAGGGGGTAATAATTTAAACCTTAGCTGTACTTATACATTATCAAATAGCTTAGTAACTATCTACCATAAAAATGGTATCATATATTGAATATTGCTATTCTTAATTCTTTGGCTCTCTGCAGGTGGTTTAACCAAAGTCAATATGGATGGCAGTGGCCCAGTACCAACAGCATTTTCCAACTACTGAAAAATGTTGAAAAGATGACATTTGTTGTCTCTCAATGGGGAAAATAACAAAAACCCAACATCGATGAACTCCCCATCAGATAATCAAACCCTGGTAATTCGCACTGACACTCATTTCTCTTTTTACTTTCATCAATATGTGTTTTTATGCAACTCTCACAACAGGCGATTTGCTACCTTTGCATTATTGTACGGCATCCATATTAATAAAGAAATATATATCTGGTATTATTATTGTAACTTTTTTTCTTCGTTGGTTTTGTTCTGAACTTACTCTGATTCCTTGTATTGAGTGTAATGCATAATTGGTAAGTACCAGTTTAGCATCAAGCAGACTTCTAGCGATGCAATATAAAAACACAACCACCAGGGATTGCTATTAATATAAACACCTGATCTATACTGTGAGAGACCTGGCTTTGCCTGCAAAGGGCACAAAGATGTCAACAGTGGGTTTCTCACAGGTTGAATTAGCTAGCTAGAGTCAACATGAGAGCTAAATACCGCAAGGTATAAAAATACATATGGACTAAAGACCTTAAACATCCATTTAAAAGCAAATATGTCAGACCCAGCAACGTATTTGACAGAAACCATTATACTTAAAACTAGCAAAAATGGATAAACAAATTATTTTAACTCACAAACTCTGTCTGGACCTCTCCAGTCTCCAGAGTTTGTCATGTAGCCCATAAGGCTTCACCATGGTCTTTATTGGCAAAACTGTGTTTAATTTCACTTGAAGTATAACAACATAACTTTCAAGCTTTGGATTTGATTATATAAGGGGAATTTTACGACCTCTCTGCTCTATTATCCATTATAAGTCAAAGGTGCTTAAGAACTGTAAAATAAACTCTTGCCAATTGCAACCAATTGCAAGGTGCAATAAGATGATCAAATTTTGACTTCCATTGCTAGCGACAGTTCCGGTTTGAGGCTAGATCAGTGTTTTATATAATTTTATCAGGGGATCAACTACATACTTTCTGAGGGGTACACAGACAACCCCCCAACTAACATCTTTCTGTCTGTTCTTCACCACTAAGTAATATTGTCAAACGAGCATTATTAGATGACACATTTTGCTGTTTTCCAAATAGCAAATATTGAGGCTTAATTTGGCATTTAATGGCTCTTCCTACAATTCCACTCGATATACAGGTGCTGGTCATAAAATTAGAATATCATGAAAAAGTAGATTGATTTCAGTAATTCCATTTAAAAAGTGAAACTTGTATATTATATTCATACATTACATACAAACTCATATATTTCAGATGTTTATTTTGTTTAATTTTGATGATTACAAATGACAACAAATGAATATCTCAAATTCATCATATCAGAAAATTAGAATATTACTGAAGACCAATAAAAACAAAGGATTTATAGAAATGTTGGCCAACTGAAAAGTATGAACATGAAAAGTATGAGCATGTACAGCACTCAGTATTTAGTTGGGCCTCCTTTGGCCTGTATTACTGCAGCAATGCGGCGTGGCATGGAGTCGATCAGTCTGTGGCACTGCTCAGGTGTTATGATAGCCCAGGTTGCTCTAATAGTGGCTTTTAGCTCTTCTGAATTGTTGGGTCTGGTGTATTGCATCTTCTTCTTCACAATACCCCATAGATTTTCTATGGGGTTAAGGTCAGGAGAGTTTGCTGGCCAATTAAGAACAGGGATACCATGGTCCTTCAACCAGGTACTGGTAGCTTTGGCACTGTGTGCAGGTGCCAAGTCCTGTTGGAAAATGAAATCTGCATCTCCAAAAAGTTGGTCAGCTGCAGGAAGCATGAAGTGCTCTAAAACTTCCTGGTATGTGGCTGCGTTGACCCTGGACCTCAGAAAACACAATGGACCAACACCAGCAGATGACATGGCACCCCAAACCATCACTGACTGTGGAAACTTTACACTGGACTTCAAGCAACGTGGATGAAGTGCCTCTCTTCTTTTCCTCCAGACTCTGGGACCTTGATTTCCAAAGGAAATGCAAAATTTACTTTCATCAGAGAACATGACTTTGGACCACTCACCAGCAGTCCAGTCCTGTTTCTCTTTAGCCCAGGCAAGACGCTTCTGACGCTGTCTGTGGTTCAAGAGTGGCTTGACACAAGGAATGCGACAGCAGAAACCCATGTCTTTCATACGTCTGTGTGTGGTGGTTCTTGAAGCACTCACTCCAGCTGCAGTCCACTCTTTGTGAATCTCCCCCACATTTTTGAAGGGGTTTTGTTTCACAATCCTCTCCAGGGTGCGGTTATCTCTCTTGCTTGTACACTTTTTTCGACCACATCTTTTCCTTCCCTTCGCCTCTCTATTAATGTGCTTGGACACTGAGCTCTGTGAACAGCCAGCCTCTTTAGCGATGACCTTTTGTGTCTTGCCCTCCTTGTGCAAGGTGTCGATGGTCGTCTTTTGGACAACTGTCAAGTCAGCAGTCTTCCCCATGATTGTGTAGCCTATAGAACTAGACTGAAAGACCATTTAAAGGCTTTTGCAGGTGGTTTGAGTTAATTAGCTGATTAGAGTGTGGCACCAGGGGCCATCAATTTTGAACCTTTTCACAATATTCTAATTTTCTGATATGATGAATTTGAGATTTTCATTTGTTGTCATTTGTAATCATCAAAATTAAACAAAATAAACATCTGAAATATATGAGTTTGTATGTAATGTATGAATATAATATACAAGTTTCACTTTTTAAATGGAATTACTGAAATCAATCTACTTTTTCATGATATTCTAATTTTATGACCAGCACCTGCACATCTCCATGGTAACCCATGTCACTGCTTTTGTGAAACAGTCATGGCTTAATTAAGAGAGCATATTTTGTAAATCCCAGTTTAATTCCTTATCTTGATTTTGTGAAACAGACCTCTGTTGATGAGCTACCTTAAGACGACTGGAGTAAATTTTATTGACTAGCCAGCACAAAGCCCTGACTTGTATCCCATTAAACATCTGTGGTTTGCACTGAAGACCTGAAAACATGTTATAGAAGATTTGCAAAGGAAGAATTGGCTCAAGTTCTGTGGGGGGTGTTAGTGAAATTATCACAAACTACCGTATCTGAAGAGTGATAAGCAACTATTAGCATCAAGGTGGCTGATGATTTTGGCCCTACTTATTTATGGTTTAAAGGAAGATAATGTAAAGTCCTAAATAAAACCGAGATTCTGGGCAAAGGTGTGTTCAAACTTTTATTTAACTGAGCTTGGAACCTGTGGAATAATCTAAAATGTGATTGTGGGGTATGTCATTTCAATCTGAACTGTAGCAGTCTCCCCTTTAGTTATCAAGTTAGCTCCATTATACCATAAAAAATACATTATTTAAATATAAGTGAGGCATCATACATTATATGTTTGATCTTCCCAAATTCTACTTTTTGACAAAGTAAAGCAACAGAATGTTTGGTCATGTTAATGCATAAAGTCTTTTCTGGTCAGTGAGAAATATGTGTAGAAAAAAAAAAGACAAACCGCCAGATAGTTTTTGTAGTTCATATTATTATTGCTTTAGAATCTCCTGCAAACCCACCAAAACTTAGCCCTGTGTTGCTCTTCAGTCTGTTCCTGGTTTGTTCCCAGCCATTTTCCAGCATAACATGTTGCTTTAATACAATTTTCCTTGCAGACATTGTTTTGACTTTGTGTAATTTCAGCCCGTTTTCATTTTGCATCTCATTTACCCTCTCTTTTATGTTTTCTTTTGGTCATTTCATGTTTGCTTGGGTTAATGTGCTTGAGCTGGATCTGTTTATGTATTTTTGCAGGGATTTCAAGTGTCTTTATGCACCATTGTGGTCTTGTTACAGTATTAAGGGTTCCTTTCTGCATCTTAAAGCTGTAAAGGGGCCAATTCACTGAAAAAAACTGAAATCTAGATAAGTAATTTTTTCTTAAAATAAGTGCATTTGTTCTTGGATAAAGGAGGTAAGAGAGACACTTTGCCAATGGAAAAGACAATTTACACTTAAAATAAGAAAACACAATTGGATTATCTTATTTCATGTGCATATTATGCAATTATCCTACTTTAAGAGTAAACATACTCATTCCATTGACAAACTCATTTACCTACTCAAAATAAGTGAAATGTGGAGAGATGCATTTCCCTTTCAGACCTGAACTAGTCCATCCTACAGAGATCTGATTCTGTCATGGCAGAATAGAGAGCAGACGTGATCTTAGTAGCTTATCAAAGTAGGAGCTTGTCACGCTCCTAAAAACCTCCACTTATTCCAAAGGCACACACAAAAATGCCATTGTGTGACCTTTTGCCACCAAGGGCCAGCACTGACGGACATTGTCTGTGGTTTTCTCCCCGCCGTGTGTTTTCAGAATGATTATTGTATGGTGCACACAATGCGTGAGCTCCGTCATTGTGAGAGGAGCCCGACTGTTATTATGGAGGAGGAAATGACATGTTGGGACTTTTGATGATCTCAGAGGGAAAGCAATGACCTCTAGCTGACCCTTTTCACACTTGTCCTTAGCCTAAAACTTAACCCAATTGGCTGCAGGTACAAAAACAGAGGTTGGACTTAAAAAAATAAAAGCTGCAACATGCAGGAAAAAACTATGAAAATATGGAATAATCGTACTATAAGATGCCTTTCTCAGAAAAAAGGAAATAGAAATTTTCCAGGTATTTTTTAGGTTTTCAAAAGGGCCTTATAAGAGTAAATCTCTGTTCTTGAAGCTAGTATGCCCTCTTGTGGTGAACCAAAGGTACTGTGCCAATAGAGGAAGGAATGAAAAAGACAAAAAGCTAAACCAGAATGAGTTTCTCCAAACTTTATTTCCAAATTTAACTGAGATTCACATCAATGCCCCTTTCCCAAAATAACAGTTTCCATGTGTTCTCTTCTACACACTCAAATCTCCTTAAGCCTTTAATCTCAGTCAAAAAAAAAAAAAAAAAAAAAAGAATTGAAAATCATACAAAATGTAGAAAATATGAGTTGGATGTTGACTGTCAAAAACAATGCTGGCCTTGATGCAGCTTCAGAGCTTTAAATTCAAAATGTCAGTCCGGGGCAAAATGTTGTATTCACCGCATCAGTTTCAGAAAACAGTATGTGTGAGTAAAGATGTGAGACCCATTTTCAAATACAGTCCATTAACCCATGCATGCTTCCCCGCGAATGATATGGAGATGAAATCTGAGGCAAATGAAACCGAGATTAAGGGGTCGTTCAAATAAAGATCAGAAACAAACACGGTTATGTCAGCTGCTCTGCAGCACAGTGACCACAAGTTTATCCCCAGGCACAGAGGTACATGTCCAGATAAACTCATCACTTCCATAAAATGAGATGTTGATAGTCCATGTCTGGATGCAATGATGGTTGAAAAGAAAAAAACAGTAAGTGTCACATTTCACATCGGTTTCATAAAAAGCAGGGGTGTCTGTGTGTGTGCAACGTTTAGAGAGCATCCAGCAGACTGTCAATGCGGTTGATGAGCTCTTGTCTCTTGCCGGTCAGAGTCTTCTCACTCTCAATGTAAGTCTCCTTCTTGACCTTACCGGCAACCAGACGCTCCGCCTCTGAGCAGCAGCGGCACACCAGCTCCTTCACCTGACCGTCCAGCTTCTGGATCTCCCCAACCTGAAATTAAAAAAACAAACTAGTAAGCAAAGCAGCGATCTGGGTTAACTTTCCTTTTAAACGGCAGTTTTAATAATGGTCCCAACCTTTTCAGCCAGGTCGGAGCCCTCCGTCTTGAGGCGGGCCTGCAGAGAGCTGATTTCATTGGTGAGAGTGCGGTGGTCAGCCTCCAAGGTCTTGCGCCCGCTGTTGAGGGCGCCCGTGTCGCGAGACTGTTTATAGCGGTTGACCACCTCATCCATGTGGCGGTACAGACCCAGACGTTTGTTGACCAGAGTGAGCACCTGCTCTGTGATGGAGGCTACCTTCATCCGCACCTCAGCTGCAGGATCCTGAATAAATGCAAGGCCATAAAAATTAGTCCAACAGAAGAGAGGTTTTAGGAAGTAAATGGATCCACATTTGTCCATCAAACTGCTCCCACTATTTAGTTCCTTTATGAAATACCAGTATTAGGCCAGGAGTGACTGGACTTTTCTGCAGCGGCATGAAGATTGTGTGACGCCCTGCACCTGCTGCTGCACACTGCCTGTCAGCCGGCTAAAGGAAGGCTGCTAATATTTTGTGTCATCAAGTAAAACGATTTGTTTACAATATTATTATATTATTATTATAGCTTTAGTAGCGAGTCCCTGACACGGCTAAAATTATAGAGCACAGTGATAGCAGCATCATGCTCAGAGGATATTGTAACCTTTTACAAACAGTATGAATATGTGATTATTTTTAATGCAGCGAAACTACAGCAACACTATTGGGCTTTCTTTTTAAACAAAATGACACCACCTTGTGAGAATCCCATTTGGTTCTATGCTTGAATCAAATCGACTCTTGGGAACAAATGGTAAACAAACCAATGGAATTTGACTAACATAACTTATGATCACTCTAGGCCCATTCATACCTTTGTGATGGCAAAGTCCAGTCGTACATAAATGATCACGGTGAAGAAGAGTATGTAGAAAGCCCCCACAACTAACAGAGGCTCCTGCAGCATCAGGATCTTGTTGAAAGTGTAATGAACCTACAGATAAAGAAGATTATTTAATTTGATTGATCTACAAACATGTTTAAGATTAAAAATAACACATAAAATGATTTAACTAAGTAACTTAGTCAATTGTTAACAAGCATCCAACCGTGTTAAAAGGCTTCCTTGTTGCCATTACAGCTAATCTAATAGTGGATTATTTCTTGGATCAATTAAATTAAACAAAGCTGCACCTAAAAAGACCTCCCCTCCATATCTTTTTACATAACCTGTATTAAACCATAATAAACCATAACAGCGTTACTCATCAAACTCTCTTCCCAAAATCTTACCACAAAGTCCTGAATATGCTGCTCCACCAAGTTGTTCTTTGTAGCGACTAAAACCGGTCGACCAAATGTGTCCAGATACGTGTAGTGCAGCTGGTTCGGCATTCGATCTATTTTGTAAGGTGTGTCCACGTGGATGTTTCTAATGATACACAACATTAAAAACATAAAGACGTCCGAGTCACCACATATCCCTGCCCCCTTAATTAGCTAGTAAGCAGATTTGATTAGGAACACTTACTTTGCACCTTCTGGTAGAATGATTTTCACGGTCATGTAGTCGATGACCTGGTCATCATACACGTGGTCGATGAGTCTCATTTTCAGTGCATACTGATCACCTTGAAAAAACAATCATACTAAAAGTTAGCTTCTCAGTTTTAAGCACTTATATAAGTAATGATTTCCAGAACCAACCGAGGGTGTAGAGGTATTCATAGCTTGGCAGGTTGTAGCCAATGATATAATGAGTCTTCCAGCCTCCAAAGAGGGGGAAACGTGGTCTGACCTCCACCTCCACAGAGTCATCAAGGATCTGCAGGTGGGAGGTAGAGATGTTGCCGATCTCATCTCTGTAGTAAACATCTTGAGCTGAGGCAGGAAGGATGGTCTGTGGAGGAGGAAAGATGGGAGTCACCATAATACATTAGCATGAATAATCAATTTGAGGATCTACCTTCTAATGATACTATTTTTGATAATAATGGTAGCTGTTCTCATTGACAACATAAAACACTTGCAAAGTTGATAGTAAATCCCTACTTTATAAATCTACAAAGTATAAAGATTTCAAATACACTTTACAGAAATAAAAAATTGGCCACATTACTCTGATCTATGCAGCTAGATGCAAAAAAAATCGTATTATTTAAACCTTGAAGGATTTGACAGAGGAGATGCCGCTGTCCGACTGACGCTGGTAATCGTAACGTGAGAAGGGACCCTTCAGAATGGCTCCTGTGTGCCTAAGATCGATGGTTTCCTCAACAGCAATGTTTCCCCAGTGAGACACCTCAATGGTGCGAGTGATGCTAGTGATGGTGAGGAAGGGTGTGTTATTTTCGTAATGGATCTTCATTGCATCCTAAGAGATTGGGGAAAAAAAACACAATTAACCAGCCATTTTGTGGCATCCTTTTATGTTTTTTTTTTTTTTTGGAGCTGACCAAAAGTGGACAGGACCATACCTCACTGAATGGAGCGACGTCGCGGAATGGCCCGTATTCAATGATCTCATCGGTCTTGCTCGGGTTGCCAAATTTGGTGTAGCTTTCCACAGTCTTGGAGGCCAGACGGACACGTGTGGTCTGGCTGCGGGTGGGATACGGGGAGTACATATAGTGATTGCCTTGAAAGATGACCAGCTGACGCTCTGCCTGGGTGATTTGTGTGGGGAAAGGCCTCAAGACATGGCTAAATGTCATCTCCGTCTTCACTTTCAGCTGAGCCCCAGCAGCCAGAGATGAGGGCAGCATCACTTTGTAGAACTCTCCACTGTTATAAGATAGATGAAGAACATTTTGGATTAGAACCCAGTTCTAAGTTTGAATACACAAATCATAAATCCCAATTTTTAAACTTTTAATTGAGCATTTCGGCTGAATTTTTCTAAAAGAAAGCTATAGCTCATTGTAAAAACGGGTTTTAATTAATATAGATTTTCTCTGTCAAATTTTGATATCACATTTCAGCTTTTCTAAAAAGAAAAAAAAGAAGAATAAAAACAAGAATTATCTTGATTCTTTAATTTCATCTCAAATCAATAACATTGAAATGCAAACCAAATGGATGCTTCATCTAGACAAGAACTAAATCAGAATCAGTTTATTGCCAAATAGGTTTGCACTTACAAGGAATTTGACTTGGTGTTGATTGTGCAGTCAAATTTGAGATATATATATATATATATATATATATATAGAATATGGAATCTATAGTTACATACAATATTAAACAAAACATATTATATAGCTATATATACATACAGTACTGTGCGTTAAAGTAACGCAAAACAAGACAGTATTTCCAGTGGAACATTAAAGCTAGAATTTAACAATGCATATTTCCTTATAAATGTAAATAAACATCTGATCTGACATTTGAACTTCAATGGAGAACACACTGCTTTTTTAAGGAGATCAAACTTGAGGGTGATCATACCTTTGTCCCTGGATTGTTGTCTGTTGGAGTTCAAGCGTGCCATCTTCCTCTTCATCACCCTTCACCTGGAATACAATAAAAAATATACATATAATATATATTACACATAGAAGAATAGCATCAGCTTAATTTCCTGGTATCATATAAAAAAAAAAAAAGTCTTGCAAATAATTCACAAATGAAGGGGGCAGAGCTGTGAGAAGTCACACCCGGAAGTGACCTGCCCAGCGCATACGTGTCATTCAGCCAGTGACAGCGCGTGGAGCCCTGCGGAAGTTAAAGGCTAACACTGTTAGCAATTCCTCTCCCATTGATTCTCTGAGGGTGTAGCCAAAACATTATACTCAATAAACTGCTCTAAATGGCATGCATTTGTAAATACACAACTCATAACACTTGCAACTAATATTATTTTTTTTTTTTTGGTGAACTGACTTTTGAACTTGCAGAACAATAACCAAATTGGTTTGGCCACTTTGAGCTTCTTAGCTTTTCTTGCATGCCAGTTATTAAACTATACTAGCATGCTTTCAGTCGCCACGCTTATGCATGCAGCTAAAAAACAAGGAATACAACAGTGGGGAGATGTAGAAAGTGTTTTTATCTACACTATCCTTAGTTTTTAAGAGACCAGAAGCTAACGCTAGCTAGCGGGTGACATAATGCGTCTTGGCGCTGTTTCTTTGCTAACGCTGGACTCACCGAAGCTCCGATGTATGCCATGTGAGGCGCCAGTTCTGCATCCACAGCCAATATAAAGCTCTGGACAGAGGACTGTCCTTGGTTGGACAGCAAGATCTCAGCGGTGATCTTAGCGAGATGAGTGCTCAGGTCTACCGTCCTCTTCACGTCATCGTTCACCAAACCGTCCGCTGAAACCTCAAAACTCAAAGCGAGCACAAACAGCAAGTACGCGGCGAGCAACGGCGACCTTCGAGTCATTGTTAATGGGAAAAATTGAACCTGAATCCTGGGGATAAGGTAGTGAGATTACAGCGGACAACGGAGAGTCGGTGAAGAAAGGCCGCCGCACGGCTCTACATCAGAAAGGATGACGCTACATTCGGTCGGACGTGATGGCGTCACTGCGCACTTATCAGCGTCGTATTAGCAACGAGGGAGCAGTCAAGTTGAAGAAACCTACTACCATTCTCTTAAAGCATAAGTGAAAGACAGTAGGAAATTTTTGTCACCGACAAAAAAAAAAACACAGCTAAATAAAACATAAGTGTCTATAGGAACTAGTATTGGTGTGTTTCCCGTGCATTTTGTACGCCGAAATAGCTCAGTTGGGAGAGCGTTAGACTGAAGATCTAAAGGTCCCTGGTTCGATCCCGGGTTTCGGCAGGGAGATAAAAGGTACACTTTTTATTTTCTGAAGTTAGTACATGGTGGCCATTGCCATCTGAGATCTTATCTCTGGGGCTTGTCAATATTTTGGTGGCCAGTTGGGCTTCATCTTTAATGTCGCTGATTTAGTATTGGTTATAAACATGAATGGGACTGCCTCTTCCCTCCCATGTATGTACATGGCTGCAGCTCTGTGTCACAATGTCACTACCCAACCCGTACCGGAAGCATGATCTGTACCATCAGCTCATTTAGACTTAGGCTGTGTTCAAATTTATGGGATGCGTTCTCCCAAAGCTAGATTCGAAGGCACTGAGGTCACAACTTCATCATGGCGCGGCACTGAGGTCTGGTCAGATTCCAAGACTCCTCGCTATGTGGCCTACAGATGTGTCCTTATTTTAGCTCGGTTTCAAGGATTAGTCCGGTGTGTTCTATGTATCCTTGGTTATCCCAGGATTCATTGCGAATCGAACCAAACCAGCTGCTCTGTGCATAGAGGAAAGAGGTACTTGCTGCCGAACAGTGGTGAATATTGGAAGTTCAGTTTAATATTATACTGAATATAATAGTAATGTGGATAGTTCGATCTGAAATGAATGAAAATAGCTTGGTTATTGAGTGAGATATTTAGCGGGTAATGTTTGATTCATCTAAAGGTTTTTATCTGTTACTGTGTAAATTGGTTTGGCTGAAATTTAGGGACAGATTCTGATAGATCTGCAGTGTGGGGACTATAAATCTGATTTGATTTAAATTTTTTATTACTATTCTACACAATTAAGCATTTTTTGTTGTTGAATATAAGAGATTTTGAAGATACATTTTTTATACATACAATGTTAATATTTACTTATATCTTTCTACCCATTTTATAGAATAGAATAGAATAGAATAGAATAGAATAGAATAGAAAATCCCTTTATTGTCCCACAATGGGGAAATTCTGGTGTTTACAGCAGCAAAAAGATTAGAGAAAAAATGGCAACACAAATGTGGACCTTAGAAAAATGTATAAGAATAACATAATAGTGAATAGTTAAGAAATAAACAATAAAATACTGTACTGTAAATTGTTTTAACAATATAAAACTGTCCACCTGGAGAATAAATAAACAATGTACAGCTATGGACATTTTCACAGTAATGGATATTTGAAAATAGCAGCAACATCAGAGATGTGCAAAATGACAGCAGTTTGTTAATATAACTGACTAAGGTTTATATCATTACATTGGCGTTTATTTATTCATCCTCCCGGTGGTCTTCACCTTTATTCCACTCTGTAGTCTCATGAGTGTTCACCTTACAATAAAAATAAAATAAAAAAAAAAACACTTCTGAAAAGTTGAGTATTCATTCTTTTCCTGCTTTTTGTGTCATCTGTTACAGTTGTTAAGCGACAGAGCATGGAGAACGCTGCGGAAGGCTAGACAATTATGAATCACTGATCTCTACTTATTCACTGGATTGCTGATAGGCCAAAAATAGTGAAGCCACTGTCAACCATGCTGGTACTCCCCACTCCCACTGAGTCACATAGCAGTGTATATACACTGCTCAAAAAACATTAAAGGAACACTTTGAACACATCAGATCTCAATGGGGCAAAAAAAATCATGCTTTTATTTATACCGATATGGACTGGGTGATGTGTTAGGAACAAAACAAAAAAAAAAACACATCATTTGATGGAAATGAAGACAGTCAACCTACAGAGCGCTGAATTCAAAGACACCCCTAACATTACAGTGAAAAAATTATGCAGCAGGCTAGTCCATTTTGCTGAAATTTCATTGCAGCAACTCAAAATGATATTCAGTAATTTGTATTGCCCCCACGTGTATGTATGCATGCCTGACAATTTCGGGGCATGCTCCTAATGAGACGACGGATGGCGTCCTGGGGTATCTCCTCTCAGGTCTGGACCTGGGCATCACTGGACAGTCTGAGGTGCAAACTGGCAGCGTCGGATGGATCAAAATATAATGTCCCAGAGGTGTTCTATTGGATTTAGGTCAGGCGAGTGTGGGGGCCAATCAATGGTATCAATTCCTTCATCCTCCAGTAATTGCCTGCTTACTCTTGCCACATGAGGCAGGGCATTGTCGTGCACCTGGATTAACCCATGATGACCCACTGCACCAGCATAGGGTCTGACAATGTGTGCAAGGATTTTATCCCGATACCTAATGGCAGTCAGGGTGCCGTTGTCTAGCCTGTATAGGTCTGTGCGTCCCCCCATGGATATGCCTCCCCAGACCATCACTGACCCACCACCAAGCCGGTCATCCTGAATGATGTTACAGGCAGCATAATGTTCTCCACGGCTTCCCCAGACCCTTTCACGTCTGTCACATGTGCTTAGGGTGAACCTGCTCTCATCTGTGAAAAGCACAGGGTGCCAGTGGCGGACTTGCCAATTCCACTGTTCTGTGGCAAATGCCAATCGAGCTCCATGGTGCCGGGCAGTAAGCACAGGGCCCACTAGAGGAAGTCGGGCCCTTAGACCACCCTTGTAAAGTCTGTTTCTGATTGTTTGGTCAGAGACATTCAAACCAGTGGCCTGCTGGAGGTCATTTTGTAGGGCTCTGGCAGTGCTCCTCCTGCTCCTGCTTGTACAAAGGAGCAGATACCGGTCCCGTTGATGGGTTGTAGAGCTTCTACGGCCCTGCCCAGCTCAGTAATTGCCTGTCTCCTGGAATCTCCTCCATGCTCTGGAGATTGTGCTGGAAGAAACAGCAAACCTTCTGGCAATGGCACGTAATAATGTGCCATCCTGGAGGAGTTGGACTGCCTGTGCAACCTCTGTAGGGTCCAGGTAGCGCCTCATGTTAACAGTAGTGACAGTGACCCTAGACAATTGTTAAACTGGTGAAAAAGAGTCAGAAGAGATGAGAGGCGAAAAAATGTGAGTGGCCTCCACCTGTAAAACCATTCCTGTTTGGATGGTTGTCTCGTTGTTGCCCCTCTAGTGCACCTGTTGTTAATTTTATTAACACCAAAGCAGCTGAAACTGATGAACAACCACCTCTGCTACTTACCTGACCAAATCAATATCCCAGAAGTTTAATTAACTTGATGCTATAATCTGATTGTGTTCCTTTATTTTTTTGAGAAGTATATATATATATATATAAATATATAGATCTGTATCTTTTATCTGTATCTCGTAATTACGACATATTATCTCATAATTACAAGATCTTTTCTCATAATTACGAGATAAAATCTCGTAATTACGAGATAGCATCCCATGCTGGCTTAATTGCTCTTGCAGGAACAGTGCGACTTCCAGCTAGCCAGAGTAGAGTGGGCTTTTTCACCTAAACAATATTAAGGACTTACTGCGCAATGCTGACAAACTAAAACTAATTCCATCCAAATTGAAGAAACTCAGTGTTACCCAGTGTCGCATACCTAAAAGAAAATAAAAGAATATTAAATTTGACAAGCGACTCATTGTTCACGTTTTATGCAGCGTAGCTCGGCAATGAATCTCCTTCCTGATCTCTTAAATATAACATATTATCTTATACTTTTATCTCGTAATTATGAGATAAGATCTCATAATATTGACTTCAGGATCTCATAATTACGAGATTGGTATCTCATATTTACGAGATTTTATCTCATAATTATGAGATCGGTATCTTGTAATAAGCTGTCAGATTTTTTTTTTTTGGTGAATGCAAAGGCTTCCGTAGATTTGATAAAGATCACTATTTCATATTTGTCTAGTAAAGCTGTTCTTGTGCCACCCATTACCCACCAATTAATATGTATGACTAGATTATGAAGCCTTGACACAGACCTAATATGAAGAAAAACTTTTTTTTTTAACTACTCGCAAGAAAAACTGAAAAAAATATATGTATTGAATAACAGATAAAGTTCCGCGGTTAGATATAGGCTACTAAGTCCATAATACACCAAATATTTATTTCCTTTCCTTCAATTTTTTGAAATGAGGGAACTTTTCTTGTGGAGAAGTTATTTGTTTTTTCCAATTGTACAGTTGTGTGTGTGTCGCACACACACAACTGTAAGAACGTATTTGGGAATATTATTTTATGTGACTGTTTGAAGATAAACAATTTCCCTACTCGTATACGCTTGATATAGATAACTTAGTGATTTATTTTAATTTAATGGAAAATTAGAAGCTCATATGCACACTAATTTTTATGGAGTTGACTGGCTCACGTATGGTAGGATTTGCACGCAACATGTGTACAGGTGCTGGTCATAAAATTAGAATATCATGAAAAAGTAGATTGATTTCAGTAATTCCATTTAAAAAGTGAAACTTGTATATTATATTCATACATTACATACAAACTCATATATTTCAGATGTTTATTTTGTTTAATTTTGATGATTACAAATGACAACAAATGAAAATCTCAAATTCATCATATCAGAAAATTAGAATATTACTGAAGACCAATAAAAACAAAGGATTTATAGAAATGTTGGCCAACTGAAAAGTATGAACATGAAAAGTATGAGCATGTACAGCACTCAGTATTTAGTTGGGCCTCCTTTGGCCTGTATTACTGCAGCAATGCGGCGTGGCATGGAGTCGATCAGTCTGTGGCACTGCTCAGGTGTTATGATAGCCCAGGTTGCTCTAATAGTGGCTTTTAGCTCTTCTGAATTGTTGGGTCTGGTGTATTGCATCTTCTTCTTCACAATACCCCATAGATTTTCTAT